CTGAGGGGTGCCGCGCGGCGCATCCCGCGCCGTGCGGTCTCCGCTGGTCTGCGGCGGCCTTCGGCTCCCCGTACTGCTCTCGGACCCTGGGATCGCAAAGACATCGCGACGTCCAGCCTTTCGTGGTTCGCGCCATCTGGGGTCCGCTTCTCTGCCCCAAGACGGTGACGAAAAAGGATCCAGGGGAAAAGCTGGCTACGGGGAAGAGGTCGAGACCCCAGGGGGGGCACGTCACGAAAAAGCTGCGACTTCGGAGGAGAAGGTGCTCCGAGTTGTTAAACCACGCGTGGCAGGACAACGTGCGGGGCAGGAATGGACAGCCCGTTGCGGCTTGGGCGTTTCCAAAATGCAAAAATGTATTACATAGCTTGCGCGGCATCGAATGCACCGTACAGCTTGCAACACACAGTTTGCTCCGCATACATTATCCTGTGTAAAAAGAACTAGCTACCACCCTCCCCCCGGATTTAAAGACTCACTGGGAACCTATGCAAAAACATATATGATTCTGACCACATGCCCATCCTACCTGTGGATTCATGGAAAGAGCGTGTTCTACCGTTGCTGGCGGAAAACCGGGGGGGGTCACTACCGGTTCGAACCCCTCCCCCCCCCCACCCAGCTCATCATGAAAAGGGGGGGGGTCACTACCGGTTCGAACCCCCCCCCCGCTCGAACCCTCGAAAACCGGGGGGGGTCACTACCGGTTCGAACCCCCCCCCCCCCCCTCGAAAACCGAGTGGGGGTGCGGACAGTGGTGGGGACGGTGTTGGTGGGGACAGTGACTTCGGACAGTGGTGAAGGGACGGCGGGACAGTGGTGGGGACACTGGCACAGTGGGACGGTGGTGGGGACGGTAGTGGTGGGGACAGTGGTGGGGACAATGGTGGGAACAAGGGGGGACAGTGGACAGTGGTGGGGACGGTGGTGGTGGGGACAATGGTGTGGGGACAGTGGGAATGAGGTGGAGACAGTGGGACAGTGGAGGGTACAATGGTGGTGGGGACAGTGGTGAAGGAGGTGGCGAGGACGGCGGTGGGACAATGGGACAGAGGTACAGTGGTGGGGACAGTGGGGACAGTGGTGTGGGAACAGTGGGACAGCTCAGTGGGACAGCGGAGGAGTCAGTGGGACAGTGGGGACAGTGGGGATAGTCGGGCAGTGGTTGGGGCCGTGGACACAGTGGGGAGAGTGGAACCGTGGTGGGAACAGTGGCGGGGACAGTGGGGACAGTGCGACAGTGGTGGGGGCACTGGTGGGGACAGTAGGGACGGTGGTGGAACCAGTGGGGACAGTGGTGGTGAGGACAGTGGCGCTGGGAACAACAGTGGGGGATGTGATGCGGACGGTGGTAGGGACCGGGAGTCGTTTGCTGGCGGTGAGTGGGGGGGGGGGGGTCGAACCGGCAGTGACCCCCCTCCGGTTTTCGAAGGGAAGGGGTGTTCTAACCGGTAGTGGCCCCCCCCGGTTTTCCGGATCCGGAGGGGGGCGGGGGGGAGGGGTTCGAACCGGTAGTGACCCCCCCCGGTTTTCGAGGGGGGAGATGGGGGGGGGGACGGGTTAGGGGAGGGGGGGGTTTTGCTGGGGGAGGGGGGGGGGTCCAGCAAGGGAGGGATTTTCGGAGGGGGGGGGGGGGCGACCCCCGGGCTCCGGAGGAAAAGGTTGGCAGTTTTCCATCGTAAAGCGGCGGTGGATCACGCTTTCTCGATTCATGTTATCCCAGAAACGCCGACGTCACCCTCCACCCCCCGCCATCTTCTGGAAAAAAATTATCCCGGCAAAGCAACCTAACAGCCATGTGTAGGAGCATATCTGGAAGCATTCTCCTTAAGATTCGGATGAGAATCCAGTTGTAGAATTCTGCTGTTCTCGCAGTCGTAGTCGCATTCGCGATGACAGTCGCAGCGGCAACGGCAGTCGCAGTCACAGCCTCAGCCTCAGCCTGCCTCAGCCTCAGCCTCCGCCTGCCTCAGCCTCAGCCTGCCTCAGCCTCAGCCTCAGCCTGCTTCAGCCTCAGCCTCAGTCTGCCTTCGGCCTCGGCCTCAGCCTCAGCCTGCCTCAGCCTCAGCCTGCATCAGCCTCAGCCTCAGCCTCAGCCTGCCTCAGCATCAGCCTGCCTCAGCCTCAGCCTCAGCCTCAGCCTGCCTCTGCCTCAGCCTCAGCCTGCTTCAGCCTCAGCCTCAGTCTGCCGTCGGCCTCGGCCTCAGCCTCAGCCTGCCTCAGCCTCAGCCTGCATCAGCCTCAGCCTCAGCACGAAGCGACCCAGCTAGAAGGACAAAGCGCTGAATGTACACCGATGTGTTCGACGACTGCGTATGTAATGATGTGACGATATACAGACTGAGCCCTTCGTGAATGTCTACATGTTTTTCTGACGCCTACAAACGGCGCTGACGTGTGTGAGAAAATTGTCCGCGCAGCAAAAGCCGGCGAAGCGTGCGGGAGCTCGCATGCTGAGACAGACTACGTCTGCAGACCGCCAGCTGCAAAAGGTTGCGAGCGGCTCTTGGAAGATGTTTACGGAACGGAGCTACGGTGTCTGAAAACATTGGCATCGAAGCGAAGAGCCTCGGAGCCCTGCAACCTGAGAAACACCGCAGGAACTCGCATACTGAAAAGGAATGCATTGCAAACCGCACGCTGCGAACCCTGCAGGCTGAGAAGCACCGCAGGATGTCGCATGCTGAAAAGCACTTGTACTGCAGAGCGCTAGCACTCCATCTCGGGCTCGGACCCCCCCGTCCTGATCCAGAACGTGTCCGGCCACGGCCTGAAAATGCCGTTCCAACTCCCGAGGATCAGCTGGCACTCCGGCTCTGGGACACTCCAGTACGTCTTGAGCACCTTGAGCCAGGCCCCATCTCGGGATCCCCACAGCACGCTGTACTTGACCGAGACCGTGCCGAACTCATAACAATTGACCTCCGAAAGACCTGCGATGCGGTGGTTCTGAGCCAGGACGAGGTCCGCATGGTCGAGCGTCGGCACCGTACGCCCATGCCCAGACGGACCATCCACGGCGAGCCACATCATCTGAGACAGCGTCTGGAGGGCGGTCGACAGGCGACTGGCGACTGGCGACGACGAGCTGGTCTTGGACTGTCAGGAACGCTACACGACCAAAAGAAAACGAAGCACGACCGAGGAAACACCAGAGCTCCTAGCTGGGAGGCGAGATCAAGGGGGACGAGGAAGAAGGGAAGAGGAGGAGGAGGAAGAGTCAGAGCAAGAGTAACGGTGAGAGTAAGAGTCAGAGTAAGAGTAAGGCGAACTGCACGAGTCGGAGTAAGAGTCAGGGCAAGAGGCCCCCCAAGCGGCCCCAAGAGGCCCCCAAGAGGCCCCCAAGAGGCCCCAAGAGGCCCCAAGAGGCCCCCAAGAGGCCCCCAAGAGGCCCCCAAGAGGCCCCCAAGAGGCCCCACGAGGCTCCAAGAGGCCCTCCAAGGGCTGGTGGTACTCGGCTTTTAATCATGTGGTGGGAGGGCGGAACGCGAGGGCTTACGGCCGCCCTTCGGGTTTGATCACTGCTCCCTATCAATCCCACCAGCCCTTTGGGCGTGAGTGGTTTAGGGAGCCCGCTCTGTTCTCAACCCCCCTTCTTCCCCTTCGGGGAGGGGTTCACCCCTCCCCCTACCCCCTCCCCCTGGGCCTGGAGAGGGCGCCCCGCGGGTCGTTCGAGGGGTCTTTTTCGACTCCTGGGAGGGCTAAAAAAACGACGACCCTCACGAGGATTCTGGCCCCGACGGGGGGGCACCGTCTGGTCCCCCTCCTCTTCTTTAAAGCCAGAACCATTGATTGTACTACGGTTGTGGCCCCATTTTGGCGTCCTGAGGGGGCCGCGCTCATCTTCCTTCACAGCAAAACCATTGATTTTACGAAGGTTTTCGGCTCATTTTGTCCTTCTCAGGGGGCAGCTCTCATCTGCGCTTTTGAGGAGGTCGCAAGAGGCCCCAAGATGGCCCCAAGAGGCCCCCAGGAGGCTCCCAAGAGGCCTCCAAGAGGCCCCCAAGAGGCCCCCAAGCGGCCCCAAGAGGCCCCCAAGAGGCCCCCAAGAGGCCCCCAAGAGGCCCCAAGAGGCCCCAAGAGGCCCCCAAGAGGCCCCAAGAGGCTGAGAAGCACCGCAGGAACTCGCATGCTTTCGAACACTACTGCTCGAGACCGCAGCTGGAGAGCGGCAGACCGCAGGCTGAGAAGCACCGCGGGCAGGGAGACTTGCAAAACTCAGATGTCCTGATCGTCTTGGAGGAAGTCACGCCAGTCCGGCGGCTGCCAAGAATCGATGATGCGCCTGGAGCCACCGCCCGTGCTGCCGCCGATGTCCAGGTAGTCGCCATCGGCCCTGAACAGACGGCCGCGCCCCAACGCCAGAATCGCTTGGTTGCGGATTTGAAGCAGCTCTCCGCTCTCAAACATCTGCAACACGTCCAGCTGCCTGCGCGTGAAGTTCGGCTTTGGCTGGCCAGCCTGGGCAGACAGATGGCGGGAAAGCCGCTCCCCCTCGTTGTAGCGCGCGATGGCCTCGGCCTTCTGGTGGTGCAGCCGGCGCCGCTGTTGCCGCAGAGCTTCCTCGGGAACTGCTGCATCACGGCCCTCACTGTGATCAGCTTGCAACGCTTGCGTTAGCCAATCAACGTCGAAGCGCCCTGAGAAGGCCAGCACCTCCCAGATCTGTTTGGTACCGGCCACACGTTGCAAATGGCGATGCCACCGCTTACGCTTCTGGTCTTTCACAAACTTGGCGACGCTACCCAGACCTGCACCCTTGGCCTGGCCACCTTTTCCCGCAGGCTGAGAAGCACCGTGAGAACCTTTCTTACCGCCTGGCCCTTTGTTAGGACCCTGCGGAACCGCATGGCCCCCTTGTGGCGCAGACTTGCCTCTCGCTTTTCCCTTTTCGACATCCCGTTCCTGAAGCGCACGCTGCTGCCGCGACTGCTCGTACTGGTCGCGAGCTACTCTGACCAATTCCTGGCGCTCAGGCTCCGTGAGAACGTAGCGCATGT